TTCAAACCTTATTATTTTAAAACAGAAACACTACTGTTAAATTAGCTATTAGATATTTCACAAAGAAAAGACAACACTCTCCTATTTGTAGGTATTATAGGTATTTATCCTTTGTACAGGTTAAAGTAGTAAAATCAACAGGGGAACCTAACAATTTACGATATACCTAAATAATCAAATGCATAGCAACTCGATAACAATAATTGAACATGTTCAAGGTTTAATGTTGGAAGTTTGATGTACAATTTGGGAATTGATTCAAGAGTTACTACAGTTCAAAGTTCATTGTCTGTTTTGGAGGATTACTCAAAGTACATTGCTAATCTCAGTGGGGGTCACTAATATGGTTGATTGTCTGATCTTGGTTGATGTGATGTGTTCTTCTCAATCATGAAATCAATGTGGATAGTCCGCAGACCATGTGTTGGCTAACACCTAAGTGAAGCATTTTGACACATTTAGAACAACATAAATCAATTACCTTGCATGTGAGAGTTGGGTAGGGCCAATCAACTGTTACAGGAAGACCTTATTACAGTAAATTAAAAACATTAGGTTCTATATACAACATTGTTTTGTATATTGATCACATTCCTTCTGGTAAAAAAATCCTTCAAAGGTTTCCTAGTAATGATCATTAGAAAGTACAAAACATGTCAAATAACTTTTTAGATTTATTACATCTCGAAGTTGTTTCATATGTTATTTTGAGAACATCTAAATGGCGTGTAGCTACTAAAATGAATAAAGATTTTAAATAAATTGGGTTAGTCAAAACTGAGTTTTTCTTTTTCTTGTTTGGGTTGTCATATCAGGATTTTATCATTTTCCAAAATGATTTCTCCACATATGTTCATCAAGGTAGGCATTCAAGGAATCTACCTGCAGTTAAAGAATTCCAAAAAAAAAAAGTTTATTTTAAAAGTACGATGTTATTAATGAATTTTTTTACAAAGTTCAACGCTATTAATGAAATTTGCTTCCAAAACACTGTCCTACAAATAAGCTTCAATGTAGGAAAAAATGAAACATCTCAATATCATCTAAAAATAATCCAATATAATATATCTTTTTAAGTACAATGCCATTAATGAACTTTTTTATTTGCAAATTTCAATACTAAAAACAAATTTTCCTTAGAAAATTGTCATATTAATGACCTACTAATTAACATTTAAATTTATATATTACATAAATGGTTCACTTGTGAACAAAAGTATATAAATGATCCATATTTGAAATGTTTTTTTTTTACATAAATGGTATATATGTGAAAGAAAATGAAATGTACTTTCCATTAACAAAATGTTTTAAAAAATCCTATTAATGAGCTCTAATGTACAAAAAAAAACTTTTCTAGATTAGCCAAAAAGAATACGAAAAAGTCATTTTTTGAAACTACGATGCTATTGATGAACTTTTTTGCAAAGTTTAATGCTATTAATGAATTTTTTTCTAAAAAACAATCCTTTAAATGAGCTTCAATATACAAAAAATGTAACTTTCCATATAAACTAAAAATAATCCAAAAAAGTTATTTTTTAAGAGTATGATGCTATATATAAACTTTTTTTTTGAAGTTTAATACTAAAAACAATTTTTTTCCATAAAAGGTCCTAATATAAGGTTAAAAGAACATATTCTAAAATACTTATCGATCTACTTGAGCAAGAATTAAACGTTTCCCAATAAGGCATATAAATCATCCTCCTTTTGTAATGAATTTCAAAGCCCCACAATGTGAAATCCTCTAAGTAGCAGCATTCCAGAACTTAAACCATATTGGATAATCAAAATGAAGAGAAGCTGCAATAAAAAATAATCATTGTCACAATCTTATACAAGTATTAGAGATTATTGGGGTGTTAGATAGTGTATTAACTTGCAATTAAATATAATTTTCAAAGAAAACTTAGTATGAAAAACTAACCAAGGTGATCAACAACCAAATGAGGCATTATAACTAAAACATAACCAAAGAAATATTAGTGATGAAAAGGGAAACTTTAAGGAGAAAACATACAAATTTAAACCATGAAAGATAACAAAATCCACAAGTATATATTTAAAGTAATTTAAACCGGTATATTTATAAAGTAATTTAAAAAAAGTAATTTAAACCAGGCCGTAGGTTTATTGTTCCCTTAAGCATTTCATCGTACACGTAGTAGACAGATAGACCAAACAAAATTTCCAAGTATCCAAATCAAGGTCTCAAATCCTAACACATCCAAACAAACGAAAAAAAAAATCAGATTTTGTGATTTTAACAACCAAAAGCGAAGGACATGGCATACCTTGTGTATGAGTCCATCGTTTATAAATGGATTGCTCAACTTATTGAACACTTCGTCAAAAGTATGAAGAAAATGGGGAATGCCATAGAAAGGTTCGATTCAAATTTCGAAATAACACAACTGCGACAATTAATTTTCAAACCACAAAATTTGATACCCTCATAGCATAAAAATTAAAATATATTTTACTTACATTCACAAGAACCCAAATGAATTCGACCATTTCTATTGTTCGTTAACTCCAATTTCGACCTACAAGAAATCCAAAAAAATCAAGCAACTTGAGTAACAATCATTTTCATGTTGTCGAAACTTTAGTACAACTATCGATGAAGAGTACAAATAGCAGTTATCAGGAAATAAGCATATATGAGATAACTAAGAAGTTGTCAAGTGGAATTTGAGTTACTTGCTTTCTTACCTTTCCCTGATGTGATTAAAATTCCAGTCGTTCCACTAAAAATCTAAATTGTTAAGTAAAAATCAAAACAACCTGCTTTATGTGTATTTTTGAGAGAATGGAGAATGGAGATGATCAATAGCCTAATAAAAGAAATCATCAATGGTTTATGGAGATTTACAAAGCGGAAGCATATCTATCGGTTTTAAATATGGATAAATCCCTGATTTCGCGCATACTTAATGGAATTTAAATTTCGTTTCTGATTTTTTAGAATAATTTATGGTTACATAAAAGATTGATTGGGATTAACGAATTGAAAACGGTCTTTGACTCTTACAATTCCAGACACCTTAAAATCTTAAATTTAGATCAAATAAAATATTATGACATATTGAATAAGCATAATCAAAAGGTGGTAGTTATGTTGTAGACATAGAAGGTAATAAACAATAAATAAACAATTTATATTAAAAGGACCATTATACCCTTGCATCTTTCATAAGGAACCAAAAGTCAAAAATATATGTTTGTACTCTTTAATAAAGTGTAGAGTGTAATATTTAAAGAGTTACCAAAAATTATTAGACTTACCTTCTAGTTTAAAAATTCCTAAATTAAAGACCCATTAAGTTTCTTTGTTTATTTATGTAAATTATTTGTTTAAATTTAAAAGAAAAAATACTTTAATTTTAATAATTCAATATCTTTTTTATTTTCTTATAAATTCAAACATCTCAAATATTTAGATCTTTATATTTAATTTTTCTTTTTTAAATCCATGTACCCTAGGGGTGGCAAATCGTGTTATCGTTTCGTGTTTCTGTCTGACATGACACGACACGACAATGTTTTATGTAACACGAACACGACACGACACAATGTCGTGTTTTTTTTAACTAACATGAAAACGAACGAATTAAAAAACGACAAACACGACATGACACGAAAAATATAACATATACTAAATACTACTTTATTTAATGAATACTTTATCAAATATAACACGACAAACACGAAAAACACGATAAAGAACTGCTAAATCGTGTCAATTTCGTGTCAAATTTTGAACACGAACACGACACGACACGGCATCGTGTTTTTTACAGTTAACACGAACACGATACGAACACGAATTCAAATTTCAGTTTCGTCCCAATTTCGTTTCGTGTTGTGTATTTTTGTCGTGTCGTATCATAAATTGTCACCCATAATGTACCTCATATAATACATGGGTCTCGCAACTACTATGTTAAAAGATAAAAACATAATTTTATAAGTACAAATAAAAGATGTGTAGGTACAAAATATATAAGTAAAACATAATTTTTTTAAACGGCAAATCAAACCTATTTCTAAACTACGCCTTAAATCCACCTATGTCCACGACGAGACTTGAACCCTCAACCTTAAAGAGGGAGGGCAACACCGGATACCGCTGGCCTACAAACCCTTTAGTATTGAAAAGTCGTTTTTAAAGAATGTTAATAATTTAAAGAATGTGAAAAGTCGTTTTAGTTTCAAATAACAAATAATATATAGTATTGAGAACATAAATACAATCTTTAATAACATAAAAACACGAAATATATATTATACCTTTTTTATTTAAAGAATGCGTTAAAAAATTAAAAAGCACTAAACACATCGAATACTCTTAAATCATACAAAAAACTAGTATTTTTTTCAAGAATATATAGAAATCAACATACGTTGAGAAATCTATAACTTTTTTTTTTGAAACGGTAAATCAAACATACTTCTAAACTACGCCTTAAATTCACCTATGTCCACGACGGGACTTGAACCCTCAACCTCAAAGAAGGAGGGCAACACCGGATACCGCTGGGCTACAAGCCCTTTGGTGTTCTTCAACTTATTATACTTGAATCACAAACTCTTTAAAATACATAAATGTTTTTTTTATGTAACTTCCTAAATTTTTTTATATAAATATTAATTATCAATGAAAACACTAATAATTTCATTTATTAAAAATATTAAATATAATTATAACCATTTGTAAAAGAAACATCCATTATTTCATCTCAATAAAACTTTCAACGAATATCACTACTACTAAAAATATTTCTACAATTTTCAAAAAAATTTATCATAATTTATTCAAAAACGTTTGAGAATATGTTGATATTTAAGTTTTTCCAGACAAAAAATATAATGGACTGTTTGTGAGTGCTATAACAGTGGACTTGCCTTAAACAATTGGGCCATTTTGTTGGGCTAATGCTTCCAGTAGTTCGTCGGAAACAGTTTTCTTCCGTCACCATGGCTTCATGTAGCACAGTAGCAGTAGCAGCCATCTCGATTCCGTTCATTCGACTAGTAGATTCCTTCTTCAGATGGCAGGTGGTAGTAAGTTTGGATTATTGTTAGCAGGAGCGGTGGCGGTCGGAGCAGCTGCGGCAGTGTTGAAGATCAAAGGACCATCGGTATGGGACAAAGACGCAGTCGTCGAACTCTTCAGACACATGTCCGATCGATTGGGTAATTGGGCGATTCCAGTTTATGTCGGGATCCACACCATCTCCCTCTCTCTATGTCTTCCCTACGCTGTCTTCTTCGAAGCTGGTGCTTCTCTCCTCTTCGGATTCTTTCCAGCCTTGCTCTGTGTCTTCTCCGCCAAAGTTATGGGCGCTTCCCTCTCCTTCTGGATCGGAAGGTATCATTTCTGCATTTCTCAAGAATTTAAGTGCTGCTGTTTATTATTCTCAGTAATTACAAGTAGTTGTGTTACTTCAGATTAATTTCTTATAAACATGAGTTCCAGTTTGTAGCCCTAGGTTTCATTCCACCAGCAAGAACTGCATGTATAATATATGTGGCATTTGAGTTTTGATTCAACATGATGGAAGTTCAAATCCTCAATTCAGATTAGTTTATTTTAAACATGAATTCCAGATTGTAGCCCTAGGGTTTTGCTGCTTTTTCACCTTAAATTGGCATATAAGGTTTTATTTCACCAGCAATTACTGCATATATATGTGATGTTTGAATTTTGATTCAACATGATAGAAGTTCAAACCCTCAATTCACATTGACAAAGCACAGAGTACTTGTTCAAACTACTCAAACAGAAAATTACTAATATGAACTTACAACTGTACTAAAGGGATTGAACCAAATGCCTACTTGATATAGAATAGAAACACAAGAAAGACAACACATCATAGATCAAAACAAATTACAAAGAATGAATTAGGAAAATGTCCCTTCAAAGAACCACTTAAACCAGAAGAATCTAAACAAAACAAGTTTTACAACTGTAAGAAATTTAGAAGATGTACGCAGCTGTTGCACTGTTTTATGAATTTCCTTCTATGGCATTTTACATGAAGATGACTCATGTTTCTTTAAAGCCTGTATCTTACTCTTAAGATGTTGCCAAACACAAACATATTTAATGCAAACCATGGATCCACATTATATGATTTTCTAAAATTGGAAAATGCCTCATTGAATGATCGAGTCTCTTTCATTCTTTTTCGGTTTTGAAATGAACTTTATCGGTATATCAGTTGAGTCTGATAAGTATTTATACCTATTTGAAAATCATCCAATGTAGTTTTCTTAAAAAAAAAAAAAAAAAAAAAAAAAAAAAAAAAAAAAAGACTGGAAAGGGCTGAAACAGGCATCCATTCATTTGCACATGATGTCCACTAATTACATTTAAAATATATCAGATTATGAAATCTACTACTAATGCTGACTCAAAGCTCCTTTTTTGTGGTGTTACATTTGTTATCAGATATCTGGTCCATACATTCCCATCTTTGACCCTATTCTTTTTAAACTTTTTTTGCCTTTTTGGTTGTGGTTGATGTAAGGAATTAAGATGGACATTGTTTTCTTCATGATTTGATATTTAAACTTGTTTTTGTCTTGAAATATATGCCACTTTATTTATGTCTGTCTGTTTTAAGTATCTTTCACTAAGTAACCTTGGAAACACTCTCACATGTCTTAACTCTTAACCCCCTTGGACATTGATTGATATCTAAAGGTGGGATTCTTTCCATCTTTTGTCATTTCAAAATAATTGTATCAAAACTCCATTTCATTTGTTTACCAAAAGTCCAAAACACAAGTAATTATAGTAAAGAATATAGTTTACATTTGATTTCATTAATCTATGACAAAAAATGGTATGGTAGGCGAATCTTTTACATATAGATATCATTATAACAGGTTGTACTGAATTTGTTGTGTATTGGACTGATTGTAACTTTTTGTCACACATAAAAAAGCGGGACATGTCTCATATGTGTAAAAGACGTAAATGCCCTTTTTGTATTGATTTTGCAGGATTCTTTTTAGGCGCTCTAGTTCGGCAGTAGCGTGGGCCCATGGAAACAAATATTTTCATGTGCTGTTAAGGGGAGTGGAACGTGATGGTTGGAAGTTTGTTCTACTTGCCCGATTTTCCCCCATTCCATCATATGTCATTAATTACGCATTAGCCGCCACAAATGTCCAATTTTTAAGGGATTTTCTAGCGCCAACTGTCCTAGGGTGCCTACCCATGATCTTACAAAACACATCCATCGGTAGCCTTGCTGGCGCAGCCGTGGCGTCCACCTCAGCATCTCAATCTGACAAGTCAAAGATCTGGTCATACGTGTTCCCAATGCTTGGTATTTCATCTAGCATTCTCATCTCCTTAAGAATCAAAAAGTACTCTTCAAGTATATCACTTGATGTCAAACCTGAGGAGAAGACAAGATGACAAACCAGATGTTAAGCGAGTGTGGGGGAGGGGGATATGTGAACTTTTTATTAACAGACGCTAATCTTGTATGTTATTGGAAAGAATTAAGTAATTAATGGTATTTAGTTTTTTTTATTATTGGAAAGAATTAAGTAATTAATGGTATTTAGTTTTTTTTATTATTATAATTGAGAGTGAATTTAGGGAAATTTTAATGAAAAAGTAAAGAGGTGAGTGGGTGGGTGTCGGTAAGCGCAGCAGAAGAAGTTAAAAAACTGGGATTTGATTGGTGATACCCAGACAGACACAGAAAAGGCAAAATCATGTTACCTAGGTCGGGGTGCATGAATCTTGAAATAAAACAATACTTTCTTTTCTTACCTATTTCTTGGCGGGAAACCCACTTATATATATATATATATATATATATATATATATATATATATATATATATATATATATATATATATAGGGGATAGGGAATATACATTACAGCCCCACCTAAGCTTAGGTACTAAACCTCTAAAATATGTCGTTTAACATTCTAAATATGTCCGGTTTGGTTTCACTTGGTAAATATATCATCCTCCATAACATTTCTTTCTTTCATTATCGTTTTACCATCTCTGTTTTCTTTCCTCAATTATCGTTTATTACTTCACCCAAGTGAACATTACTAAACCCTAAACCCTAAATTTAAACCCTAAACCCTAAACCTAAACCCTAAACCCTAAACCTTAAACCCTAAACCCTAAACCTAAACCGTAAACCCTAAATCTAAACCCTAAACCCTAAACCCTAAACCTAAACCCTAAACCTAAACCCTAAACCCTATTGTGTCGATCTTGAATTTACATCTTGAAGTATTAACCGTGAATCCATTAACCGTAATCTTTATATAGTAAAACAATGTATTTTCAAAAGGTTTAGTACCTAAGCTTAGGTGGGGCTGTAATGTATATTCCCTTTTCCTTATATATATATATATATATATATATATATATATATATATATATATATATATATATATATATATAGATATATATATATATATCGCAAAAGAATACCAACAAGGGGGATCAATCCATTTTTTGTAGTTAAAGAAAGATTTAGTAACAACAAACTACATGATATGCCATTTCCGTACTTGGAGATTTGTCCAAGAAAAACTTAGACCTGAAGGAATGGGCTCGGCAATGCTGAGTTGGCTCGACAAACATTGCGATACAGCTTTGGCATGCCGAGTTTAGGCAACCAACTCGACATAAATTTGCCACGCCAACCCTTTCTCTCCTTCATTAACTTTTTGTTTGTTTTTCATTTCAAATTTTCAAAATTTTATCTGTTTTATATCCAAAATAAATAAAAATCACCAACATCACATTTTACCACTCTTAGTTCCATTCTCTCTCAAACAAGCACACATTTTCTATTACTTTAAATTTCATTTTTTTCGCAAAATGTCTTTTTTCAAACTCTTCCATCACCCAAACAACCAAAAAACATCAACTCGAAACAACACAAACTCTTCACGTCTTATAGACCAAACATGGATCGGCCACTTTATTCATATTATACGCCATATTCAACCCAATTCCAATCTCTAACTGTATCTCGTGGGAGTACTTGGAGACAATCATGGGTTTTTTTTGGGTTTGGAGAAAAGTGATTGAGTATGATATGGGCTTGTTTTTTCTAGCTACTTCCATTTTTGTTCATCCTTACTATGGAAGGTCTCCACCTTGCTATTGAGGATGTGATTGTGGATGGTCTTTATTGAGGTCTAAATGTTGATAATACTAAGATCATGGTCTCTCACATTTTTTAATGTAGATGATATACTACTTTTAGGAGAGTGGTTGGCTCAGAATATAACCAATATAGTCATGATTTTGGGGTATATTTACCTGACTTTGGGCTTAAGGTTGAACTTGCAATAATCTAATTTTTTATGGAGTTTGTGTGGATCGGAGTGTGGTTGAGTAATGTACATTACTCATGGGGTGTAAGGTTGATTAGTTTTCGTTCCAGCATTCAGGGATCCATGCGGGTGCGAGAATGGATATCGTGTATGGGTGGAAGCAGTTTATATAGAGATTGTGAGATAGGTTGTCCAGATGGAAAGCGAAAATGTTATCGATTGAGGGTTGATCTATTTTGTTGAGCTCTTGGATCTTTAGTGATTTATTACATGTCGGTATTTATGACATCAATTTTAGTCAAGAATATTTTGAAGTCCTTTGAGGTTAATTATCTTTTGGGGTGTAAAGAATGATGAAATAAAGATACATTAGGTTAGATGGGATCTGGTTATGGCTTCCAAAGGAAAAGGTAGTATCTGGATTGGAAGCTTGGAGGGGTTCAATAATGCTTTGCTTAAAAATAGAGGTGGATGAAAGTTATGCAATTTGGGTAAGGTGTTAACAACTTTAGATGGTCACCGGGCATAGACTGGGTCAATGTTTGGTCTCGAACTATACCCTGTTCCCGAGATCAACTTAACGAAAGAAAAGAAAAGAAATTAGTGGAAGTGAGAAAGAAAGTAAACGAAATTTGTTCCTGAGTTTCATTAAAGGGAGGAAGTGGAAGGAAATGAAATGATCACTTTCCCTCCTAACTTTCCTTCCGATTTGTTTGGAGAGAAAGAATAAAATATTTAATTTTCCTTCCACTTCTTTCTAACATGGGAACACAAAAGACAAATTTATTTTCTTTTTTTTTCTCCTTAATTTCTTTTCTCGCTAAAACTCGGGAACTAGGCGTAAAAGGGTGTGGCCGAAGATTGCTTTGGCGATTCAAAAATTGCAAGTCAGAGGTATTATACCTTATGATACTCTTATAAAATAAATCGGTAATGGTCACAACACTATGTCTTGGAAGTTGGTGTGGTGTGGGAATGTCATGTTTTATATACGTTTTTCAGACTTTTCCTGCTGGAAACTTATAAAGATTGCATAGTTAGTGATTCATGGATGGATGATGTGTGGAGGCAGACTTGGAGGCGAGAGGTGAGAGGTCGGGCCGAGATGGTACAATTGATGGACATGTCAGGTTTATTTGTGAATGTCATTATATCGGAAGATCAAGACAAATATGTTTGGGAGCTTGATAATTATGGGTTTGTTTTCGGTTAAAGAGTTAGGAGTTGTATTGATGATTTGATGTTAGCAGATGGAAATAGTGCCACTAATTAGAACAAGTTTGTTTCCCCCGAAAGGTTAATATTTTCGTGTGGCGCTTGATTTTGAAATGACTATTGACTAAAGATAATACTGATAGCAGGAGAACGGATGTTCCTTCTATCCTTTGTCTGATATGTGGGCTGGAAAAATTAAGAGCTTGAACACTTGTTTCTCACATGTAAAGTAACTAACACTGTTTGGAGGGCGGTTGGTAGATGGTGAATATAGGTATGTCTATTCTCACAAATGTCCTAAATGTTTTCACTTGGATAGAGACTATGAGGATTTCGAAGTCCTAAAAGATTGTAATAGAGGCGATTGATTTTTTGGTTTGATGAATGCTTTGGAAATACTATAATGATAACGTGTTTGCGGACAACAAAATTAAGAAGAATATGATAATTGAGCGTTTTGTACTATTGTTGATTATTCTTTTAAGTGGTTTGTGTATAGAAACAGTAAGTTTGTCATCAAATAAATTGATTGAATTTATAATCCAACAAATGACATCCCAGTGTATTTGTTAATATTTTCTAGTGTCTTGCTAGCTTTTTGTATATATCTTTCAGTTGTTAAAAAATGTAACGCCCGTAGATCCGGGCTAGTCAATTTAGAGATAATAGGGGTCGAAAACGACTTTTCGACAAAAAATTATTTAGAATAAATAATCTTAACCAAGTTGTAGAATACGTCTCAAGGGTTCCGTACATATAAAGAACGCCGAAATCTGAGTTATAACGAAGAAGTTATGGCTCATCGAAGTTTTACGGCAAAACCGGCACGGCGCCGGGAGACGTAAATAGTGAATTTGCGATAGAGTGATTTTTGGCCTTAGTAAAATCTAAACCAAAGTTGTATTATACGTTAAACCAAGAGTGTTCATAAAAAGAACGCCTAAATCTGACTTCGTATGAGGAAGTTATGATTTTTCTAAGATTTGGCATAGCAGTGCAAGGCCCGAAACTCGAATTTTAGTTCGAGCGGTTTTTGGCCTACGCGACCTAAATGAGAGTTGAAGATCTCATTAATAGGAACTCAACGGTAAAAAGACAGACGAAAACGGAGTCCGTATGAAGGAGTTACGAATTTTACGCGGACATTTAACAGTATAATCGCCTTGTACTGTTAAATTTAAAATCGGTCAAGAATTAGCCGACGGAGTCAAAATAAAAGTTGTAGATCTTATTTTTACCTATGTGTGGATATAAATAACGTCGAAAACGAAGCTCGTATGCGAGAGTTATGAATTTTTGAAAAATCGGCTAATTTCCACCCTGTGTTCGGTGCCACGTGTCAGCACCAGGCGCAGCCTTGGAGCCTACGCAATACCACGACGTGGTGAGAGGCACCACGACGTGTTGATTCCCCAGGCAGCCTATAAATAGAGGTGTCGGGTGAAGCTCATTCCTCACACCTTCCAACTTCTTCCCCCTCTCTCTAGAACCTCTCTCTAGCCCCCAAACCCCCCCCCCCCCAAAAGCCTAGGGAACTCCCTAGCACGAGGCGGAAGCCCTGGAGCGCCCGAAGGATCCGAGAAGAAGAGCCTTTCGGCTTGGGAACGCTGCTCCAACGAAGCCCGGTTTTCGAGAAAACCCGCTGTAAGTGAGCTATGCCTAACCTATCTTTAGTATAACTTATGTTCTAATATAGTAATGTTATTAGGAACTTATAATAAGTACTTGGACTATTATTATGGGTTATATAAGTATTTTTTAACGCTTATATAATAGTAATAATAGCTAGACTATTAATTAGTCTCGGTGAATATTAGACTAAACTCTAGTGGTAATGATACTAGGTTTTGTCCGATGGAAATTGTTTTAACAATAACAAAGTGCTGTCAGAGTGCCGAGTCACCACCTTATCAGGTGAGTGCATAGTTACTTTCATCTTACACATAGATATGAAGTATTTTATATAAATTACGTGCTATATGTGCATATTATCTGAATA